GCTAGTGCTTTGTGAATGATTTTCCTCAGCTCTTTGAGTATACTTTAAAAAAAAAAAAAGCTGATTTAAATGTTTATCTCAGAAGTGCACTGCTCAGGTTTCCTCAAGGAAACCTGGCTGTCCATTGTTTAAGATCTTTCAGTGTGCTGCATTTTTTATTCTTGCATGCCTTGTGACTTTAGTCCAAAATTATTCAAAGGGCTAGAAAGATGGCTCAGTGGTTAAGGTCAGCTGCTACTTCTGTACAGGACTCGGATTCAGACATGAGCATCCATGACGAGCAGCTCATAACACCTATAAATCCAGTTCTGGGATCCAATGCCCCTGCTGGTCTCCATAAGCTTTTTTACATAGTGATGCATTCATATCCACTCAGGCACACATACACAGATAAAATAAAAATAAGCAAATAAATTAAGTAGAATAATATAATTTGGTGACTTGGGAGATTTAGACTCTCCTCCAGTTCATGAGATTTACTGTTTTGGCAGCAAGGATTTCATAAGAGGTTTCCAGAAATAACAAGTTTAAAAGCAAAACAATCTGCCCACCCACCACCACACACACACTCTCTCTGCCTAGTCTTTGCAACCTGGCTCTGTGATTGGCTACTATCTTAACATTCCTCTTGCTATGCCCTGCCTTTTACTTTCTATACGAACTAAGCCACAGTTCTACCATTCATTATTTCTTTGAGTTTTAGTCACCCCTTTCTTGTTCTTATTGGGAGAAGGAGTGGGAGGGTGTTTATGAGACAGGAGTATTACTATGTAGATGCATGCAATGATGAAAATTTAGTCTTAGGTTTTCATAAACATGTATCCTGACATGAATCCACATGACTTTCCAAACTCTCCTGTATACAATGATGCTCTGACTGTCCTGATGTTTCTGAGATGACACTAAAAATTAAAATGTCTCCCCCAGACATTTTATCTGAAGCCTCAGGAAGGCTACTGTATAGCTTCTCATATGTTGTACAAAGCAACTACATGATTTTTTTTCTATTTACCTTAAAATATTTTCAATCTATGTCTACTGCCTTTCCAACATAAAAAGTAGGAGATATATATATATATATATATATATATATATATATAAAAATACCTGCATCACTCCTTCAAGTAGCTCCCCAATAAATTAGATACACACACACAAACACAGAATAACTTTCAAATAAGATCTGTACTATTCCCTCTGGGACCGAGGACCTGCACCCCACACTGGGAATGCAATTGCTATCTTTATGATTGCTGTCAACCAAGGAAAAAACTGGAACACAGACTGGGTTGTGGGGGGTAGCTGTTTTATTTTTGTTTTTTGTTTTTAAGTCACAATGCTATATTCCTCTACTCTTAGTTGGCCTTTTCTTGTTTTTGTTTTGAGGCGTTGGTTTGTTTTGCTTTTTGATGTAGTTCTGACTGGCTTGGAGAGCTCTCTGTAGACTAGGCTACTGGCATCTACTCCAATGGCTTGTCTCTTGACAATCTATCTTCCCTTACCTGCTGTGGCCCTTTGATTCCAGTGGGAACCCAGAAGATCCAGCACCTCAGTTGCTTTTAAACAATTCCACAGAGCTTTAGAGCTGCCTGTTCAAATATTTTGCTCATGGACTGAGGTTTACTGATTGTTTCTGTTTGTTTGTTTGTTTGTTTGGGCAGTGCTAGAGACTGAAACCAGGACCTTGTGTAGTCTAAGCAAACATCCTACCACTAAGCTGTATCTCTAGCCTAAATATTTATTTTTTGAAAAATAAAAAACTCATAGCACACAGAGACTGAAATTTACTGATGATTTAATTTTAGGTACTATTTTAATTTTAATAATTTAATATGGAAAAAATCTACAGCGGCTTATTTTCAGAAATATTTGAGTTCCACAATTCAAACTGGATTGTGACTGTCACACAAAATAGTAACAATGTATATTACTTCTTAAGCTTATTTTAATGATTTGAATATTAACAATCACTTCCTTGAAAACAGCTGCTAGATGATAAAATATTAAGAAAACTAGATAGCTTATTACTCTTAATTAAATTGCTCTTTCCCCCAGATTCATGACTATAATCTAAGACAACAATGACAGAGATACAATATACTCATAAAGTTTTTCCATTGGTAAGATAATTTCTATGGAGATACAACTATCAACATTCAAAGAATGATACTGTATAAAGAAGATAATGTTCAGTCAAAACAGCCCAACTTGTTGGCAGGGTAAATCAGCAGATAAAAGTGCTTGCCACCAAGTCTACTGGCCGGAGTTCAATCCCTGGGACCCAGAAGAGAGATGGCTAGAGTTGACTGCTGCAAGTTGTCCTCTTCCCTCTACCTGTGCATCATGGGATGTGCACACACACACACACACACACACACACACACACACACACACACACAATGAATTTACGGGGGGGGGAGCAGCAAGGTGGCCCAGTGGGTATAAGCACCAGCCACTAAACCTGACTACCTGAGTTTGAACCCTGAAACCTACACAGTATAAGGAGAGAACTAACTACCTCAAGGTGTCTCTAGCCTCTACATGTACACTATGGCATGTGCACACACACACATCCACAAAACTAAACGAAGAGGAAAAACTTTTAAACCGCAAAAATTTTAAGTATATCACACAGTCTGAAAAGCATTATCAAGCTTTTATTTGAATTCAATACTTTAAATATCATAGTCTTGATCTGTTAAAGCTTTAAATTGAAATGCTTTTAAGTAATTGTTTGAAAAAAATAACTCAAAAAGCATATACATCTCATGTTTGCTAAAACCAGTAAAAATTGTAGCACTTATAAAGGAAAGATAGTTCAAAGACATTATCAATAAAAAGCTCGTGTGCATTTCTGAAACACTTGTCAGTTTACTGTCAGAAGTGAGGGGTGAATCAACAGTCAATTAACTGCTAAATTACTGAGTTCAAGGAAAGAAAATAATTATAGAAAACTGTTAATCATGAATAGCTCATCATAAAAATATTGGTTTACTAAACCATAATACACTCCACAGCACAATTATCAAATATCAGTAGGTTATAAAATTAATTCACTAGGTGAGTCAAGGGCAACATTTATTTAACACAGTAATATATAGAATAAAAAAGGAAACAAAGGTACATTGCATAAAATCCATTCTCTCTCTACTAAACTGTCAGTCAGAGCAACCTATATAAACATCCCAGCCTTGGCCACACCTTGCTACAGCACAGGTAAGAATGGGAAAAAGGTACTCTATACTACAATGGGATTCCTATGTGATTATTCAAGAATAAAATTAGCTATGGAGGAAATAGACAACTTTCCTACTTCAATCAGAATATTGCATTGTATGAAGCTTCTTCATAATCCAAAAACCAAAAATTTAAAACAAATATCAAAACAAGCTATAAACTCTTAAAATGACTCATATAATAGAGATTTACAAAATCAATTTCAAAGTTGCAAAGTTTTTAATATTTGATTGTTTGATTGTTACAACATAGTCTGTCCCTTAAAAAACTTGCTAATTTCCCTCTGCTTCAACCACAACTCTGACTTTATTCTTTTTCACAAGTATTACTCAGAACATCCTCGTGAGACTGCTAATGTGAAGCCTGTTGTGTTACATGACACTTAAATATGCAAAGACTATTAATATACTGACATTTTAAAAGTTTCTTTGTGAACTATGAAACGCTGAAAAAAAAATCACATAAGAAATAAAATCATGCTACACTCATAAAAATGTGTATTTCCCCAGAAAAGAGTAATTTAATTGAGTTTAGGAATGTTGTAAAATGCTTTACCTATCCAAGGTAGAAATGAAATCAGAAAATATTAAAATAGAAAAACTGTTATTTCATAGCATGCCTGGGCAATGACACAGGCTCCCTTCTTTGCATGCTGGTGACATCTTTAATAAACACAGAGAGTAGGTCACACTCAGTAGACTCCATTCAAGACAGTCTTCCCAAAGTTCTCATCATTCAAATTTCAAAACATTCATATATAATACTTCAACTTCATGAATGAGTAATCCACTCTGTCAGGAAATGTTAAATGCTATTCCAAAAGGAAGCGTATAAAAAGGAAGCATAGGATTGCAGAGATGGTTCAGAGGTTAAGGGCACCAACTGCTCTTCCAGAGGTCCTGAGTTCAATTCTCAGCATTCACATGGTGGCTCATAACCATCTATAATGAAATTTGGTGCCCTCTTCTGGCCTGAAGGCATACATGCAGTCAGAACATTACATAATAAATAAACCGTTAAAAAAAAGTGTAATATTGAGCTGATTTAATTCCAATTATTAAGCCAAATACATACAATTATCATTTTTTTCTTATTTTATGCCCTTCAATTTGAACTTCCATTTATGCTTTAAAAAACTGGTATTTTAAACTATGTTTAAAATATGCCATCTGGTAACATAAAAGTGAAATTAAAAGTTAGCTTTTAAAAACTTATTCTGGGGCTGGAGAGATGGCTCAGTGGTTAAGAGCACTGACTGCTCTTCCAGAGGTCCTGAGTTCAATTCCCAACAACCACATGGTGGCTCACAGCCATCTGTAATGAGACCTGGCACCCTCTTCTGGCATGCGGGTATACATGGAGGCCGAATGTTATATACATAATAAATAAATAAATAAAACTTTAAAAAAAAACAAAAAAAAAATCAAATAAATAAATAAATAAATAAATAAAATAAAAACTTATTCTGTCCAATCCAAATATTGTAACTTAAAGCAAAATCTGGTATAGATCAACTTAAAAAATAAGAAAATAAAAATTAAAATTTAAAAAGGAGTTAATAAAATGGTTGGTCACAGACATTAGGCACTTGGTGTAAAACACAGCAAAATTAAAACATCTGACAGTCACCACCTGCCTAGGCAAACAGTCATCACTGCACAGAAAAGATGGCTCGTCGTTTGTAATGCAGCAACTATTCAAACTGCTGCTGCAAAAGGTTTTTAATTAGTGTGTGAAAGCACTCAATAAATGCCATTATTTACCTGCTTGAGTCCTTCATCAGTAAGTTTGTCCTGGTTGCCTACATGCACTTTCTGCAGTAAAGGACAGTGAGAGGCAACTGCAATAATGGAGGTGTCGGAAAGCTGTTTACACCTGTAGGCTGTATACCTAAGAAGTCCAGGACACTTAAATGCTAAGACACACACGCCAGTGTCAGACATACTGCGACAATCAGAAATGTTGATTTCAATTATATTCTGACTTCTCGATGCAATTTTTTCCAATAATTCATCAGTAACCTAAGGGAAAAAAAAGAATAAATTAAACTTTGTTCAAAAGGGGAAATTACTTTGTACAATTCCTATCAATAAGTAACAATTGTATTATAATATGGAAAACACAATGAAAAGAAAAATTTTCTTCTAAAGTATATCAGGAACTGTGATATAATAAAACACACACACACACACACACACACACACACACTTTTTCTTTGTTTCCAGTTTCCAGTACAATTTCCTAAAACCTTGGGAAGTTTTTGAGTGTCAGAGTGTAGCACGAATAGTAAAAACCCAGAGACAGATACTGGGGTTCAGCCTGAAGATTAGAGAAGCAAAGCAGTCAGTCACTGGCTATTACTGCTACCTCAGTCCAAAATGGTGACCCAGCCTCCAGGAATCCTCAGACTGAGACTCAGCATGAGACCAGTCTTATATTCCTCTTTAGTGCTGGTATTAAAGGCATGCACTACCACCACCCGGCCTCTCTGGTTAACTAGTGTGGCTGCTGGGATTAAAGGTGTGTGCCACCGCTGCCTGGACTACATGGCTGACTAGTCTGGCTACTTTGCACCGATCTTCAGGCAAGCTTTATTTATTAAAACATAAATAATCTACCACTATTTCAGAGTCATGTTACTCATAACAAGGTTCTTTGAGATTTCCTGAACAGAGTAAAGAGATGAATGAGAGTGGGGCTCCTTACAGCTTCAGGATCAAGTGTGGTCACTATAAAGACTACACAGGTAGCACTAGAGACGTAGGTCTGTGGAAGAATGCTTACCTGGCATGCAAGAGTCCTGGGTTCAAACTCCAGTAAGGAAAACAAACACTAAACAGGTGATCAGAGACTAGATCTGTCATCCTTCTAACCCCCTAAGGAGGTTAGAAAAGTTTGCTGGAGATTAGGTTATAAAAACTCTTCAGCAAAAGCTAATCATTAATACTGAAGGGCTAAAGACTGAACTATCCCTATCTTGACTTGTAACTTTTCCATGTGGATGTTTCTGATTGTATCCTTAATTATAAATCAGAAAATAAAAGTAGAATCTTGTCCTGTTCTCACTAGACAGTTGCAATTACTTTAGCTGGGGCACCCGAGCTTTCACTGTCTGCTGTAGAACGGCTGCCCCCTAAGATCTGCAAGTGACATATGAGGGCAGGCAGGGTTACAGGGCCTTAACCTATGGGGTCTGCGGCTGTTGTATGGAATAAGCCCCATGGATCTGGTCCTAGACGTGGTATGAGAACACAAGGAGAATGTGCATTTTACTTTTCATTAGGCCCCTAAAAATCAATCATTCGGGGGCCTACTTTAAACCTTCAAGCTCACCAAAAATTACAGGCAAATCCACATTGAGATTTAAAGTGTTTGAAAACTAAACAATTATTACATATAAATCAGTACGATACACAAATTGGTTTCTGGTTTAGTTTGGTGTGTTTTTATTTTGCGGGGAGGGTGTCATGGTTGTGGTTTTTTGGTGCTAGGAACTGACCATAGGGCCTTGCACATAGCAGGCAAGCACTCTACAACTGAGCCATATTTCTAGCACCATGAATTGAATGTTCAAACTTGGGACAGCACAGTATGCAAACTGCAAGTTTTACCGCTACCAGAATACTACCTTGCAGGTAATAAATTCATAGCTGAGAAAATGGATCACTGTGTAGCAAAACATCAAACATCCTTTTTTAAAAAAAATCTTTACTCATAAGATTCAATACTACATACAAGTAAAACATAATTCATCTGGCAAAAAAAAAAAAACTCACATGGCCATCTGAATTTAAAATAATAATAAAATGTCAGCCATACATGTTCCCAGCCCAATCACCATATTTAAAGAGAAATCAGAGTTATGTTATTCAAGTTCTTTTGACAAAAATAAGGAAAAGAGAAAATGCAGATAAAGCTTAAAACTCAGAAAGAGAAAACTAACTGCTGAGTGTGCTGGGAGTGAGAGCCATGAATGGAGCACCTCTCTGTGTGTCTACTGAGTGTGCTGGGATTGAGAGCTGTGAACGGAGCACCTCTCTGTGTGTCTATTGAGTGTGCTGGGAGTGAGAGTCATGAACAGGGCCACCTCTGGGGGTGTCTGCTGATAGGAGCGTGGCAGCTGACTGGTGTGAAAAGAGCTGAGGAAAGAGCTGAGTTAAGAGGGGGTCAGGGGCCATCTCCTACTTGCCTGACCTCCATTTGCACCATTCCTGCTATACAGATAGTTCAGGAACCCAAGCAACTAGGCAACTAGCTCTGTAGCCATCTTAGCCTCTTATCAGTTGAGGAGACGAGACAGAAAGGCTTGCGTATGAATGCTCTGGAACTTGCGCAATCTGTTAAAGTCTGGTTCAAACACAAACTGCCAGTGGTGTGTCAGCACTTGCTTAGACCCACTCACGAAAGCCTACTACACATACATCCTAGTAGTCTGCACTTGACAGCATAAGGCATGGTGGGTTAGTCAAACCCTAATAGTTAGCAAAGGTTACAAATCTGCTTCTTTTTTAAGAAAACCTCTGTCATCAACAACTTCCCAACGCACCAATGGTAAATATCATACCGAATTTAGAGCAGTTTAGGATTTCAATAAATATAATAGCTTTATTGTATGTTTTCATATCTTTCTAATGCAAAATACCAACTATCATTTAAATAATGAAGCCAAAAAGTCTAATAACTGTCTGCAATCAGCACTATAAATTTCATCTGTTTTCATAATCATGTAAGTATACTGGAACAACTGAACAATTAGGAAATTTGAAAACAGCCAAAAGGAAAGTTATCTGTTTTCAAAAAGATTATTTTAGCCCAATTTACTGTTATTTATCCATAAACAGGAAATAACAGCATCTCCTACTGAAGATGAAGAGAGAGCCATTAATTCTTATGTCTAAGCCTGTGGAGGCCATGGCATAGGACAGATGCCTGTGTTCCAACGTTCGCTACTATCAAACTATTAGGATGCAACCTCCCTAAAGGAAAAGGTCCTGGTTTTGAAATGATGATGATAAAGAGAGATACAAAAAAGACTACAAGACAGAGAAGAGGAGTTACAGCTACCAGTCTCCATTAGAAATTATCTTTTCCAGCAGACCCAGACCAGAGACATTTAGGAAGCAGGGCTGGACCAGAGACCTAGGCAGAACAAGTCTGAGGCAACGACTTAGCCCAGGGCCTGAGACCACAAGTTCCACAGAGCAGGAGTAGATTCCAGACCAAGGATGTTTGTGGAGGCAGGACTGAGCCAACCTGGCCCGGAGCAGACCTGAGACAGCTAACTCCACAGAAACAGGTTCAGAGGAGCAACTGCTGAGCGAGTGGGCCAGAGCCACAGACTATTGCAGGTTCGGGTGTGAACCTGTGACCTTCAAGAGAATAGACCCGAGCAGTAGCCAGTGCCCCAGCAGGTCTGAGGAACTAGGACTGAGGCAGGACCTCTGAGGGTTCTGCATCAGTCTGGGACCTCCAAGGGAGTAAGGAGGAATCAGAAACCTCTGCAGATCCAGGGCTGAGTCTGGGAGCTGTGAGGGAGGGGGCCTGAGCCAAGTCCTCTACGGGTCCAGGCGCATCCAAGTCTGGGACTTCCAAGTGAGAAAATCGGAGTCAGAGACCTTTGCAGGACCAACTCCAAGCCAGGGACCTCCACATGAACAGATCCAGAGCAGGGACATTTACAAAAACAGGTCTGAGCCAGCAACCTAGACCAGAAAAGACCTGAGACAGCTAACTCCACAGGAGCAGAGCAAACCCCAGGAACACAGAGTGACCAATGGGGTATCTAGAACCCTGGCACTGACTGTTCCACGAGGAACAACCATCTGAGCCTTGGATCCACTGGCAGCTAGAAGATTAATCACCAGAGGCACAGACAGTCCCAACCACACCAATGAGAGGAAAAGATGAGTAGACAAGGTAACATATGCAACACCACAAAGAGAAACAACACCAGTAAAAATCTAGAGATCTTACAACAGCAAACCTTGAACAACCAAATAAAGATGAAGCAAAAGAAAATGACCTAAAAAATAACTTCAGGAGAATGTTTGAGACTCTTAAAGAAGGAATGAGAAAATCCCTCAAAGAAATGGAGGAAAGACAAACAAAAAACTGGAAGACATCAGCAAATCCCTTAAAGAAAACCGAGAAAAAGAAATCAAACATATAAAAGAAACTATTCAAGACTTGAAAATTGAAATAGAGGCAATAAAGAAAACACAAGCCAAGGGAATGACAGAAACAGAAATCATGAGAAAACAATCAGGAACCACAATGCAAATATAAACAGCAGAATACAAGAGATGAAAGAAAGAATCTCAAGCGCTGAAGATACAATAGAGGAAATAGACTCATCAGGCAAAGAAAACATTGAATCTAACAAAAGATTAACACAAAATATCCAGGAAATATGGTACATTATGAAAAGACAAAACCTAAGAATAATAGTTAAAGAAGAAGGAGAAGTTCAATTCAAAAGCACAGAAAATGTGTCTAACAAAAATCATAGAAGAAAATTTTCCCAACCTAAAGAAAGATATTCCTATGAAGATACAAGAAGCTTACAGAACACCAAATAGACTGGATCAAAAAAAAAAAAAAAGGCCCCTTGCCACATAACAATCAAAACACTAAATATACAGAATAAAGAAAGAATATTAAGAGCTGCAAAGGAAAAAGGTAAAGTAACATATAAAGACAAAAGCCTATCAAAGTTACACCTGACTTCTCATTTGAGACAATGAAAGCCAGAAGGTTGTGGTCAAGCATTATGCAGGCATTAAGAGACCACATATGCCAGCCCAGACTACTATATCCTGCAAAACTTTCAATCACGATAGAAGGACAAAAAAAGATATTCTGTGACAAAACCAAATTTAACCAATACCTAGCCACAAACCCAGCCCTACAGAAAGTACTAAAAGGAAAACTCCAACCCAAGGAAGTTGGCTACATCAACAAAAACACAGACAACTGATGACCTCACAGCAGCAAACCCCAAAGAAGGGGGAAAAAAACACAAATTAATATCACTATCAACAAAAAAAAATTAACAGAAGATAGAAATCACTGGTCATTAATATCTCTTAATATAGATGGACTCAACTCACCTATAAAAAGACGCAGGCTAACAGACTAGATATGAAAACAGAATCCACCCTTCTGCTGCACACAAAACATACACCTCAACTTCTTTTTTTTTAAAGATTTATTTATTTATTTATTATGTATACAGTGTTCTGTCTGTCTATATGCTTCCTGGCCAGAAGAGGGCACCAGATCTCATTACAGATGGCCGTGAGCCACCATGTGGTTGCTGGGAATTGAACTCAGGACCTCTGGAAGTGCTCTTAACCTCTGAGCCATCTCTCCAGCCCACACCTCAACTTCTGTTGCAAGGAGCCACTTGTTTGTTCTGGCCACCCGGATAGCTTAGCCCCGAAATAACCACACAGAAACTGTATTAATTAAATCACTGCTTGGCCCATTAGCTCTAGCTTCTTATTGGCTAAGTCTTACATCTTAATTTAACCAATTTCTATTAATCTGTGTATCACCAGTATTGGCAGTGGCTTACTGGCAAGATTCTAACCAGTGTCTGTCTCAGGCGGAGGATCCAATCTCCAACCCTGCTTTCTTTCTCCCAGAATTCAGTTCCGTTCCCCTCCCCGCCCCCACTACCTAAGTTCTTCCCTATCAACAGGCCAGGGCAGTTTCTTTATTCATTAACCAATGAAAGCTGCACAAAGACAGAAGGACCTCCCATACCAAACCTCAAAGACAGACATCGCCTCAGAGGAAAGGGTTGGGGAAAAAATTTCCAATCAAGTGGACCTAAGAAACAAGATAGTGTAGTTATCCTAATATCTAACAAAATAGACTTCAAACTAAAATCAATCAAAAGAGACAATGAAGGACATTTCATGTTAGTCATAGGAAAAGTCCATCAAGGGAAATCTCAATACTGAATATCTATGCCCCAAATACAAAGGCACCCTCATATGTAAAAGAAACACTTCTAAAGCTTAAATCATACATTAAACCCCACACACAAATAGTGGGAGACTTCAACACTCCACTCTCACCACTGGACAGGTCAGTCAGACAAAAAATGAACAGAGAAATAAGAGAACTAAAAGATGTTATGACTCAAATGAACTTATCTATAGGATATTCCATCTAAACACACAAGAATATATCTTCTTCTCAGCACCTCATGGATCCTTCTCAAAAATTGACCACATACTCAGTAACAAAACAAACCTCAACAGATCCAAAAAAAAAAAAATTGGAATAATCCCATGTATCTTATCAGATCACCATGGCTTAAAACTAGAATTCAGAAATACTAATTCCAAAAGCTCACAAACACATGGAAATTAAACAATGCTCACCTGAATCATCAATGAGTCAAGGAAGAAACAAAATGAAATGAAAATGACCACACAACATACCCAAATTTATGGGACACATTGAAAACAGTGTTAAGAGGAAAGTTCATAGCACTAAATGTCTACATAAAGAAGCTAGGAAAATCCCACAATAGTGAATTAACAGAACATTTGGAAACTTTAGAACAAAAAGAAGCAAACTCAAATAAGAGAACTAGATGGCAAGAAATAATCCAATTGAGAGCTGAAATCAACAAAACAGAAACAAAGAAAACAATACAAAGAATCAATGTGACGAAAAGTTGGTTCTTCAAGAAAATAAATAAAATAGACAAACCTTTATCCAAACTAACCAAAAGGCAGAGAGAGAATATTCAAATTAACAAAATCAGAAATGAAAAGGAGGACATAACAACAGACACAGAGGAAATCCAGAGAATCATCAGGTTCTATTTCAAAAACCTGTACTCCACAAAATTGGAAAATTTAAAGGAAATGGACAACTTTCTGGATAAATATCACTTACAAAAATTAAATCAAGACCAGATAAGCAAATTAAATAGACCTATAACTGCTGAAGAAATAGAAACAATCATCAAAAGTCCCCCACCAAAAAAGCCCAGGACCAGATGGTTTCATCTCAGAATTCTACAAGATTTTCAAAGAAGAACTAATACCAACACTCCACAAATTGTTTCACACAATAGAAAGAGAGGGAACATTGTCAAACTCTTTTTATGAGGCTACAATTACCCTGATACCAAAACCACATAAAGACATTACTAAGAAAGAGAATTACAGACCAATCTCACCCATGAATGTTCATGCAAAAATACTAAATAAAATACTAACAAATCAAACCCAAGAACACATCAGAACCATCATCCACCATGATTAAGTTGGCTTCATCACAGAGATGCAGGGATGGTCCAACATACGAAAATCTGTAAACATAATCCACCATATAAACAAACTGAAAAATAAAAACCACATGATCAGCTCATCAGATGCCGAAAAAGCTTTCGACAAAATACAACATCCCTTTATGATAAAGGTCTTGGAGAGAACAGTGATACAAGGAACATACCTAAACATAATAAAGGCAATATACAGCAAACCAACAGCCAACATCAAACTAAATGGAGAGAAACTCACAGTGATCTATTCAATATAATTCTTGAGGTTCAAATTAAAGCAATAAGGCAACAAAAGGAGATCAAGAAGATACAAATAGGAAAAGAAGAAGTCAAATTCTCACTATTTGCTGATGATATGATAGTTTGCATAAACGATCCAAAAAATTCTACCAAGGAACTTCTACAACTCATAAACACCTTCAGTAATGTAGCAGGATACAAGATTAACTAAAAACAAAAAAATCAGTAGCCCTCCTGTACACAGATGATAAATGGGCTGAGAAAGAAATCAGAGACACATCACCCTTAACAATAGCCACAAATAGCATAAAATATCTCAGAGTAATTCTAAACAAACAAGTGGAAGACTTGTATGACAAGAACTTTAAATCTTTAAAGAAAAAAATTGAAAAGACCAAAAAGTGCAAAGATCTCCCATCCTCTTGGATAGGTAGAATTAACATAGTAAAAATGGCAATCTTACCAAAAACAATCTACAGATTCAATGCAATGCCCATCAAAATTCCAGCAAAATTCTTAACAGACCTTAAAAGAACAGTACTCAACTTCATATGGAAAAGCAAAAAACACAAGATAGCATAAACAATCTTGTACAATAAAAGAACTTCTGGAGGCATCACAATCCCTGACTACAAACTCTACTACAGAGCTACAGTACTGAAAACAGCCTGATATTGGCATAAAAACAGACAGGAAGAACAACAGAACCGAATCAAAGACCCAGATATTAATCCACACACCTATGAACACCTGATTTTTGACAAAGAAGCAAAAAATATCAAATGGAAAAACGAAAGCATATTTAACAAATGGTGCTGGCATAACTGGATATCAACATGTAGAAGAATGCAAACAGATAAATATCTATTACCACACACAAAAAAGTCCAAATGGATCAAACACTTCAACATAAAGCCAGCCACACTGAACCTTATAGAAGAGAAAGTGGGAAGTACACTTGAACGCATTGGCACAGGAGACCACTTCCTAAATATACCCCAGTAGCACAGACATCAAGAGAAACAATTAATAAATGAGACCTCCTGAAACTGAAAAGCTTCTGTAAAGGAAAGGACACAGTCAACAAGACAAAACGACAGCCTACAAAATGGGAAAAAATCTTCACCAACCCCACATCAGACAGAGGGCTGATCTCCAAATTATACAAAGAACTCAAGAAATTGGACACCAAAAGAACATATAATCTAATAAAAAAAAATGGAGTACAGACCTAAACAGAGAACTCTCAACAGAGGAATCTAAAATGGCTGAAAGACACTTAAGGAAATGTTCAACATCCTTAGTCATCAGAGAAATGCAAATCAAAACAACTCTGAGATTCCATCTTAGACCTGTAAGAATGGCCTAGATCAAAAACACTGTTGACAACTTATGCTGGAGAGGTTGTAGGGTAAAGGGAACACTCCTCCATTGCTGGTGAGAGTGCAAACTGATATACCTTTGGATATCAGTGTGGCAATTTATCAGAAAATTAGGAAACACCCTTCCTCAAAACCCAGCAATACCACTTTTAGGTATATACTCAAAGGATGCTCAACCGTGCCACAAGGACATGTGCTCAACTATGTTCATAGCAGCACTGTTTGTTATAGCCAGAACCTGTAAACAACCTAAATGCCCCTCAAGCGAACAATAAATAGGGAAAATGTGGTAGATTTACACAACAGAGTACTACACAGCAGAAAAAAATAATGACATCTTGAAATTTGCAGGCAAATGGATGAATCTTGAAAGCATCATTTTGAGTGAGGTAATCCAGTTCCAGAAAGACAATTATCATATGTACTCACTCATAAGTGATTTTTAAGCAAAGAAAACGAGCCCACAAATCACAATCCCAGAGAACCTGGACAACAATGAGGACTCTAAGAGAGACATACATGGATCTAATCTACATGGGAAGTAGGAAAAGACAAGATCTCCTGAGTAAATTGGGAGCATGGGACCTTGATAAAGGGTTGAAGGGGAGGGGAGATGCAGGGAGAGGAGCAGACAAATATGTAGAGCTCAAAAAAAAAGTCAATAAAAAAAAGAAATTATCTTTTCCACTGTGAAATGTAGCTTTCAAATAAACTTATATATACACAGTTAGTGTGTGTGCGTATGTGTGTGTGTGTATAAAACATTAAATTTTTAGAAAATTTTTTAAAGCATACCATTGTAGATTACAGTCTTCTGAAAAGAGAATAAAGATGTTTATTCAACTGAGTAGGGCAAATAAGGGTTCTAATAAAATTCATCTCCATACCTGCTGTCGACTGCTAAGATCCAGCTGCTTCCAGAACTGGAAATCCAAACAAAGGTCACGCCAGTACTTGCAGACCAATGATGCAGAAAGGCAACGTTCATCCAGGGACAAATTGGAAAATATCTGTGAATTACAAAAGGAACCATGCATGTGCTAAATGTTTTCCAAGGCATAGCAATATGACAAACTTATAGGCTGAAGGACAATATTGAAAATATATTGGATACAAGTGAGCACTATCAAAGTCAGTCAGAGACTATCCTACAGAACAAGAAGTGTGATGACAGAGGGGCCAAGAACAGGAACTGGCACTATCTTTTAGGTAAGGAGAGAAAAGGAAGAAAACAGAATGATTCTAATGTCTCTATTTTTCTCTTTCCTTATAGTAAAATATATTACAAGGACAAGTCAACAACAAATAAAAAACTGCCTAGGCTAATGGAAGAGGAAAGACTAGGGAGTAAAGACATAAAGAGTCCTCTGAAGCTTTTGCCTGACCTTGGGAGCATAAGAACTTTTAGACACAACTTAAGAAAACTCAGAAGTAAACCATATGAGAGGTACTGTACATCATGGTACCTCCTAGACACTCATAACCCCTGCCTAATGCTGAGAGATACAGATCTAATGCTGGACAACCCACAAAACATCTGCTTGAGACTTCAAAAGTTCAAGGTCGTGAAAAAACAAGGAAAGATGAGAAACTGTGACAGTCCAGAAAAGATCAAAAAAGAAACAGGTACAAGTACAAACCCTGAACTGGATCCTGGGGAGAAAAAAAAAAAAAACAGGAAAGAACATTATCTAAGAAAGTGATCGAATCAAAATAAAGATTAATTTGTAATTATGAGTAATATACCAATGCTGGTACCACAGTTTTGGCAAATGTACTTCTGGAATGTAAATCAGTAAAGTTAAGGGCGACAAACTGAGTGCAGAGAGGAGGAGAACCTCTGTACTGTATTGTCTTTATACTTTTTCTATAAATCTAAAATCATTCCATAGAATACACATTGTACATCTTAAATAGTGCAATAAAAATAAAACTACTCCAAGGGGCAGACCTACTTTAAAAGAACTTAAAAATCCTATCAGGAAAAGGAGGGTTAGGGTTCAGGCAGGTCTTTGAAGATGTGGACACATGTCAACAAATAATGGGATGTAGGTGCACTGAGATACTGAGTTGGACCAATTATCAGAAACACTTCAAAGCCAATTGAGAGCAATGGCAACCAAGCAGATGTTATACGATAAAAAGGATACTAGTTTTTACTTTTCTATATTATAACTATATTGATATTTTATTGTCTTTTTATTCTGGTGCTTATGAGAAATTCAATCAAAAATTATGTTTTTATATTCATTGCAAATTTTTTGAAAAGTTGAAAAGTTAAAACAAGATAAGCATAATATTGTTGAATTCTGGGTGAACAATATCTGAAGGGTTTGATTTACTATTCTATAGTGACATTTCATTTGTATTTTAATAAATAAAGCTTGCCTGAAGATCAGAGAGTAAAAGAGCCCCATTGGTCTGTCTTACAGACCAGGCAGTGATGACACACACCTTTAATCCCAGTAGCCACACTAGTTTGCCATAGACACCTGGCAGTAGTGGTACACACCTTTAATCCCAGCCCTAGAGAAATATAAGATGGGAGAAGACAGCTCTCAGGCTCAGTCTCATTCTAAGATTCTTGGAGGCAGGATCACCATTTTTGAACTGAGGTTGAGGTAAGAGCCAGTGGCTGATAGCTTTGCTTTTCTAGTCTTCAGGTTGAACCCCAAAGTCTGTCTCTGAGTCTTTATTAATTATGTTTCACTATTCTCTACTTTGGCTCGTATGTAAAAATGTTCATAAAAGTAAAAGTTTTAAACAGACTTTTAACACAAGTCTCTTACCTTTAGGCTTGAATAACGGCCTATTATGGATCTAGCCTTGGGTAAACTGCTTAACCTCTTGTACCTCATTCTTAAAATGGGAATAATATAACATTTATCTAGTAGGGTAATTATGGGAATTAGAAAGCATGGACAGTTTCCACACTGTTGTCTGAAATAAGGTAATAAGTATATAAACCGTTTCTGCCATAGCTTTGTCTTAATAACTTACCCCTGTACAACCAAGGGCTGTAGTCTCCAAGCTACACTACTACGTCTAAAAAGACCTTGAGCCTGGGGGAAACCACTATCGTGGCTGTCACAAACACTGTGCGTTCCACAAAGGGTGTAACGGAAAGCACGGAATATGCATAAGTATCCAATGAATGTGGCTCCAATACCAGCAAAGATGGAGTAAGCTAAGCTCCTGCCTGAGCTACTTAAAAGTAAAAACCAATTGACAAACTATGAATTCCTTCTAATCTGCTTTCTCTGTATCCCATGTTTTCTGTATTGGTTTTCATTTCCTTCAGCTCACAATGTTTCCAGTATTCCTGTGATGTCTTCTTGATGAATGGTTATACAGACGTATGAGATTGTTAGTAAAACCTATTGACAGCAGCTGAGGAGAAGTGCCTCAAGACTAAAAACTAAAAATGATAGAATGCAGAGGAAGCAAAACTAGGAAAGGGCTGAGTTTTCTACTTGTTTGGTTGGTCTCTGCCTGAACCTTTTACTCTTCTGCATGGGAATGAGTGGCACCTGTGTAGATCCGCTCAGCAGACACAACAGGGGGAAGGCTGTCCTCTTTCCAGCCAGAGGACCCAGAAAGTGGACCTGCCACAGAGTGCTCGCTTTTCTTTCTCTTCTCCTTTATCCTACTGCTCAATCCCAATAGCTGCCTCTGTGGCCAAGCTGCAACACGGCAGCTATGCAGAATCTTAATACTCCAAAAGGAGCATGTTTCTAGCCAAAGAACCAGAAGAGAGAACTCTCTGACCTAAGAGTTCTGTGGAGCCACAAAACTAAATTCAAAATGAATGCAATCTCAGGCACACAAAACTATACAACAAGCCAGAACTACAGCTCTGGCAGAAATTCCATCTTCCAATCCACAAAAGTAAGCTTCATTGGCACACACACTTTGCAAGACTGTGTGACAATAAAATTTTATGAAACCTGGCAGTAGATTTGCCTTGCCCCGGCCATGTTTATGAAACCCATGTTATGGCACACATGCACTTAACGCTATAAATTCCTTCTACTCTACATTAGATGTATCCAATGTTTTCTGCACTGATTTTCATATCCTTCAATTCACAATATTCCCAATACTTCTGTGATGTCTTCCTTGATGAATGGTTATTCAGACGCACAAGACTGTTAGTAAAAAACAATAGAAAAGTTCAATACAAAAGTCTATTCCCTCACAAAACCTGAGAAAATTGTCAACAATTTTATTAAAGTTTAATAAACTAGTAAGTGGTTCATTTTAAGCAAGAAAAAAAGGCAGTCACGTTTCAGCATGAAGGCATCTCTGTCAGATGACTACTGAATGACTATCCTAAGCAGAGGCTTCAGGGGCTATACACAACATAGAGCTGATCTCAAGAACTAGTTTGGAAGAGTCAATAAGAAAATTGGCAAGCACAAGCAGTAACAATATATACTAAAGGGGAGGAACTCTACTTCTCAGAAATGCCACATTGGAATACTCACACTGTCAACTTTAAATATAAACACACAATCAAATATAAGCAATGTGATAAAATACATATGTATAAGTGAGACACAGAACAAGAAGGCTCATCAACAAGAAAAGAGTCACTGGAAACTGCACACAAAGAAGCCTAAGACAAACACAACAAATCAACAACTAACGTGTACCCAAAGAGCTGAGGGGTGGGCCTCAGTGGTAAAAACACCTGCCTACTGTATGTGAAGCCCAGAGTTCAAGACTCAGCACAGTAAAAATAGAAAAAAAATCAAACTTAACAAACCCAGAGATGTCCCATCAGAGAATACTAATAAAAAGTAGAAATTACAGAAACAGAAGGAGATCCTGGGACCAGATTACATCATAACTGAAAGGAATATTTCATCATGAAGATCAACAGGTAACAGCAGAGAGAGCTTCAGGCAAAACAGTCCCTGCGTGACCACTGCTTCACCAGGACTTATTAGCTTAAAATTCACTTGGGATAACTCATAATGTTACAAACAAAACTGCCTTCAAAGAGGTCAGAAATAAAAATTTAACCGTCTAGAGCCTACTGCTTGCTTGCTTTACAGAGTCTGTGACACCTGTCACCTACTGATAACATAGGATCTTTGAGTTCTAGTAATCAAATGACTTCAAAAATACTAGGTTGAAAATGAATTTAAAAAAAAAAAAACATCTTAAATTATTCTATAAATTTGGGACTAGCAGAGCACTTCTTAACTCAGTTTATGAGAACATCATTATTCTAATATCAAAGACAAACCAAAAATGAAATTTTTCTTTCTGGAAAAAATGTACAGACTAAAGTCCATCATGAATGTTGGTGAAAAAAAAACTTTTTAAAAAAATTAATAAACTATGTGACTGGAGAGGTGGTGCAACAGTTAGGACAAGGTGCTCTTCCGGTGGAGCCAGGTTTAATTGCCAACACCTACATGGCAGCTCACAACCATCTATATATAACTCCAGCCCCTGCAGGGCCTCTGAGTGCGCCAGACATGCAGGTGACACAGACTTAGATGCAGACAAAATACCCATACACATAAAATAAATGAAAACTGATTTTAAGAAACTAGATCCAGCAACACAGTAAAATCACATAGACCACGGATAAAAGACTTTTTCTAAGAAAGGATGGGCCAACATCTGAAAAAATCCACATAACATACCAGACCAATAAGATCAAAGTTTAAATAAAAATAACTGTCCCAACTCATGCAAGAAAAGGCACTTAACAAAATAACACAGTTTCTCGATTAAGACAGAAATAAGAGTGCTTTTTCAACTTGAAAAATGAGCTCCAGGGGCTGGAGAGATGGCTCAGCGTTTAAGAGCATTGCTTGCTCTTCCGAAGGTCCTGAGTTCAATTCCCAGCAACCACATGGTGGCTCACAACCATCTGTAATGAGGTCTGGTGTCCTCTTCTGGCCTTTAGGCATACACACAGAAAGAGTATTGTATACATAATAAATATACAAAGAATATTGTCTACATAATAAATAAATAAAATATTAAAAAA